GCTTTTTATTTTTTCAGGAATCAGGCAAAGTTTGAAAAACTCTAAATCGGCGCTCTTTCGAGTATGAAATTAGCGAAAATTGAGTATTTTCTTCGCGCTCGTACATAAAAACGGAATAATATCTCTAGATGAAATCAAGTCACAAAACAGACACACATTTTTACTCTATAATTCAGCAGTTAACTTTAAAAAAACTGTTTAAATGTGACTGTTCCGGCCGCAAGAAGAATCACGGTTTCAGCACTTTTCAAAAATGGCAAATTTGACCTAACTCCACCATCGTAAAAACCCAGTTGGTACACGGAATTTCGATATGAAACAAGAACTGTATTGAAGCATATTCTTTGCTGTTGTTTGTGTTAAAATATTTCTGGCGGCATTCCAAATACACACCGTCGAGAGACCAAAACCTGAAGGGTATTTTGACACCAGGAAAGCGCAAGCAAGTTTCAACGCATGGAATATTAATCCTTCGCAAACCTAAGTTACTTCGACATTTAAACCCTAGTCAGAGTTGTAACGGTTTCAGATTATATTTCGACGTTTCTGTTCGGCTTAACATGATTCCTTTCAACTGATTTTTGCGATAAAGCATAATGAAGAGACGAATACGCAGAATGAGTGAATCACTTGGTATGCTCCTGACTTGTTAGTCACGGAGTATGTAGGGCAATAACCAAACATCGACCCTACCATGCTAATGATAAAAGTAAGGTTTTCTGCATTTACGTTAGGTGATCTTTGTTTGATCCACAAATTGACGCATGAAGATAAGAGTTTTTCCTCACCACCTCTAAATCGGTTCCGGGTAGCGGTGCAACAAATCACGTGGTACCGTTCTAGATCAACCTAATGGCTGCTCATAGAGGGGTCCATAAAGGCACATTGATTGATGACTGCGTATGGCCTGAACTGAAAATGATACCTTTTACACTACTCTTTCGTTTCGAAAATAGACGAGCACGCGAGCGAAGCGAGCGCGCGAGAGACAGCCCCTTGCTCTACTGGTCAATAAATCCCCCGCGGCTTTTATTTTCATACCCAAATCCACGATCTCCAAAGAGAAAATAGATCGACAATCCTTAATGAAAAAGTAGAGGGTCTGTGAACAGGCTACGAAGATGCTTGCTATTATTTTAGTGAACTTTACAAGAGGTCTCAGGTGATTATGCTAACGTCACCAAAAGTCTACTTTAGGGAAGGAGGAGGAGATGGGTGGGTTGGTTGGCATTGGGTTCTCCTTCAGGATCAACCCTACACATACAAAAATTCATGTCTTTATCACTACATTTAGAGCTAACAGACTTTGTTTGATCCACAAAATTGGCGCATAAAATCAAAAGTTTTTCCTCACCACCGCTAAATGTTTGGTTCCGGGTGGCGGAGAACAAAGCACGTTGTACCGTTTCAGAACAGCCTACTGGCCATGCTGGCTGCTCATTTAAAAGGGGTCCGTAAAGGCACATTAATTGTTGACTCTGTGCGGCCTGAAGAAAATTATATACGCAGACGTTTCCTGAGCGACGAAGGTGCTGCCTTTACACTTCTTTTTCTTATCGAAAATGGCCACGGACTTCTCTCCTCGCTCCTCCCCGCTAGGCGGTCGTTTTTGCCTGAGAGATACCACCACGAAGGCGTTTTAGCACACAAGTCACTGCAGGTGCAGACCTAGGAAAAGGGTATTCTCCATCTGAAATTTTAAATCGAAATGAAAGGCTGTTTTCAGCCTTTTATCTCTTTTCTCTGCAACGTATTTGGTTAAAAGATAGTAAGTAAATGGCTGAGGCACTTTAAAGCATTTTTTTCATTTTCGCGACGGATTTTGACGATATGAAAAAGAACTTGTCAGTGAATTGGTTTATTTTCTAGCCTGCGAACAAGTGCCGGGGGGATGGTGGCGGATTGAGCCAGGTGACTACACCTTTTTTCAAGCGGGAGCTAGCAGTACGTACATTCTGGTCTACCCCATACTGTGTAGACTGGCCTTTAAGGGCCTCTTCGGGGGGCGACGGATCAGTACAATTCGTCAACAGCAGGTTGAGGTATCGCCAGAAGATGCCCTTGCTGCAGAGGAGCAAAGCAATACTACTTTCAGTAATTTAAACATGTTAAATACTTGTATTTCGCTCATCAAATGTGTCCATTGTCCATTTTCGATTTGTGGTTTTTCAGGAATGTTCTTTTGCGGAGCATTGGCCAATTTTCTTTAAACAGTTTTACTCGTTTCCATTTCCCTGCTCTACCCTCATGTTGCATATGGCGTACGTGTGTACACAAATCCCTCAATTCATAATGAGGTGATCGATAAAGAAGTCTATACGCTAAGCGGGGTTAAGATTAGTTTATTACAAG